AGTAAAAATATCAGAAAAATCTACTTGATTACAGTAACGAAGTATTTGTACTTCGTTACTTCCCATCTCTGATAAAAACCAGGTTTGTGGAGAAAACTTTCAGCCCACAGATGTGTGGATCACAGCAGCTCATCAATAGTTACCATTGACCTCTTAGCTGCTTCTCTGCTATATGCTCTCCTTGCCTGGCAAAGTCATTTCATTTGGACAATTGTAGGTATAAGTTTGCAGTTATGCAAACTCTTTCGATTTAAAACCTAATATGTACCCCTGATTTAAACTTCTCCATAAAAGTTTCCATTATTTGTCTGATGTGTTTTCATGGCGCTGTTTGGGCCTTAGGCTATATTTGTGATCTGAGGGTGCACTTGATTTTATTCAGCAGAGTCTGTGTATATGTACATTTCCAAATTGTATACAAAATAAACAAAACCATAAATAGTTTGTTGTTAAGCTTCTTAAGTTCACTTAAAATTGTAATACCGGGCATTTACATGTTTGGTTTTTAAGGGGGTATATTATAAAAGATTTGATGAGGTGTGAATACTTTAGCAAAGAATAACAAACAAAGAATTCAGGTATCTGGGTTAATCTTTTTGGTCAAGGACTTGAATTAACGGAAACTTATGTCAGAGGGGAGAGCACAGAGCTGAGCGCCTACTGTCACATCATAAGTTTTAAACATGTCATAGCATAAGTGGTGAAGTAAGAGCCATTCTGCATTCAGCAGACAGTGACACTCAGATTCAGGTTTGCCTAACTTGGTCATAGAGACCAGTTCCATGAGCAGCACCCTTGAGCTTACTGTGGGATAAAGGCAACAAACTAGGTCAAGATGTCAGCTCTGTCAGCCGCACTCCTTAGTTGATATATTCCATAAAAATCCAAAAACTATCAGTTAGTTAAATCGTGTGTAAATAATATGAAGGCAAAACTGGCAAATAATGAGCTATAAAAGGCAGATGTTTGTGCTTCATAATTAAAATATTTACGGTAAACCAGCGTCATCCTGTTCGAGTGCTATTCGTCAAAGGGCTGAAAAAAAATACGCTAACTCTTAAATGTTTATGAGTCGGTACGTAATTTGCTTAAAAAGGCAAAAGACAAAACAACAAAAAACAAGTCGAATGTTTTGATTTGAGTCAAGTATGCTGGATGGGGCTTGATTTAATCCGAACTGCTTTAAGACTTGGTTTTCATCACCACAATCACATCATTAAATCCGCCCACAGAAAATCAAAAACAGTTTGGGTTTGAAGAGGCCCACTCATCGCTTTTTGAGTTAACAAACCAGTTCTAAAAAAGCTGAGGAGATCTTTTATCTAAATGGTATCATGTTGCATAAGAAAATGATCGGTAATTATATAAAACAGATTCACTGACTCTAAACTTGGTCCATTGTTTTCTCTCTATGTGTCGATATATGCTTCCCTTGCCAGAAACACACAGGTTTTTTAAACATGACTGTCGACAGATGTACAGCCCACCTCTAGAACCTGAAGTGTAGCACGTATGGAGGAAACAGTTCCAGTTGGAGAAATCAGATCCATCTATGGGGAATATCCTAAAATAAACCCCTCTGTTCTCCCATATCAGGCCTTGTATAAATAAGATAGCACTGCAGGCACACTGCACCAAGGGAATTAGCCAATCCAGTCCTGTAAACATCAGCCAATGACTTCTGGCAGGCTGGGCCAGCTCTCAGGAGGGGAGGTTCTGCACTGGAATTCATAAATAAATCACTTTTTCTGGGAGGATTATGTGTCCACACTTCCCCCGTCCTCGCAACACCCCCACCCCTTCCCAAAAAAAATAAACAGAGCAAAAGCAGAAATAGCAGAACTTAAGCACTGCTACAGGAAATTATCAGGGCCCCTTACTATCATTTAGGGACATTACTTTCATAGCATTTTGATGTGAGTAAGACAGAACCTGTTTTGGGATATTACAAAACCCTCCTTCTGTGAGGTCAGTGACCTTTAGTGGAGTTGCTTGTTTTCCTAACCACTAGCTGCTGTGGACTTTTTTCGTGCCATCAACAGTTTTAAAGAGGAAGTAATCTAGTTTAACTTTTAATGTACTTTCCCTAAACATAATCACGTCTGAGAAACATAGAGGCCAAATCACAGTATTTGGATCAATCATTAAATTGGACATTTTCAATAAATTCTGAATAAAACAAAAGGAATTATAAACACGCAACCTGCTTTTATCCCATCTTGTTTGCTGAAAACTGGATTTGGAAATCACTGTGTTGCAACAGCCTGGAAGCTGCCCTGAAAAGCAGTTTAGAGAACTGCTGTAATGCAAAGGCAGCGTTAGCGTGCATCACTTAAAAACCAAGACAAAGTCACAATTTTGGATCCAAACCAGGTCTCCTCTGAGTCATAAGCGAAGCATTTGTTTGGATATGTGTATGTTGCTATTATAACAGAAGGGAAAGAGCTCTCTTAGGCTCAGGTAAAATAATAATTTTTATACGGTATACTTGCTAAAAAGTGCTGTACAGTAACTAAAGTTTTAAATTTGCAGGAAAAGTTTACTTCTTGAAAAAAACCCAACTATAAAAAAAAAAAAAGAACATAATTGTTCAGCGTTTACTAAGCATTTCGGAGACATTATCAGTCAAATGAAACCAGGTATAGGCTTTACCTGCCACAAGCAATGCTCTGGCTCACCTGGCGACTTTGCTTAGTCTCTATAGCCATACTGAAAACGATTATGCAACAGCTTTGGCATCTACTTAATCATATTTAACTACTTCAACATAATTGTTTCATGTCTTACCCTGCTAACATAAACAATTACGGTAATTAAATACAATTAAGTAGATTCCAAAAATGCTTGTATTATTATTATTATTTTTTTTAAATGGATCAAAGACCAGCCAAAAGTGCACCTCACACTCAAACACCACGCAAAAAATAAAGAAATAAAAATTGTGTGTGTCGTGATGAAAAGGAGTAAACTAGAGGCTGACTGGTGATGGGATACAGTGAAAGTAAATACAAATGAAGGGAGATCATATCTGCCCTGGGAATAAAAATAGGATCTCTAAACAAAAGACATATGCAGCTGCAGCAGCAGACTGCGGTGCTTTTCCTCTTTCCCAATGGGCAGGCTGAACACTATTGTCATATTAACTTGTCGCCAAAGGGATAAAACATGTGCATAAACTCATGAACTTGTGCTGTGCCCCTTTGTAAAAAAAATAAAATAAATTGTTCCGTGCACAGAAAATGGTTTCCTTTCCCTCTTTTGCTCACTGTGTGCATAAAAACATGACAAAAAATAAAGACTTGGTCCAATTTTGTTCTACAGTAACATTTCAGACAGGATGATACAAATTGAATACTTTTTACGGGTCTGGTATGCACAGCACTAAAGTGAATTTGAACTGGAAACAAAGTCAACATGTTAATTGAAAATGAAATTACTAGAGAAGGATCTTAAAATATGATGTACCATCTGCAACATTTCAATCCAACCATTCATTTCTGTCACGCCCTTCTGAGGGTAACAAGCGGTCAATGGGCGACTGGCAGGGTACTCCCTGGACGGGTCGCCAGTCTGTCGCAGGGCAACACAAAGACAAACAACCATTAATGCACACACTCACACCTAAGGAGAAATTAGAAAAGCCAATTAACCTGTTTGGACTGTGGGAGGAAGCGGGAGTACCCAGAGAGAACCTATGCATGCAAAGGAAGAACATGCAAACTCTCAACAGAAAGACCCCGGCTCGGGAATCGAACCCAGAACCTTCTTGCTGCAAGGCAGCAGTGCTGTCCACTGTTCTACTTTTTGTTCTACAGCTTTCCCATATTCCAAAATGAAACAAACTTCAGTCTTCATGTGGGGCTTTAAGAGCAGAATGATCCATAACATGACATGAAATTAACCCGATAAGAGATCACCAAATAATAAACCAACCTTCCTCTAAGGTGATCTCAGCTCCTAGTCTTAAATCCTTAAAATCTTTGATAAGCTAACAGGAAGACTGAAATATCTTAACCGAATTTAAAGAGGACTGGAACTACATTTATTAAGAAGCATATATAAGCAGTAAGTATCCAACATAGAAAACAAAGCAGTCAGAACGATTTAAGCCTGGATTATCAACACAAGGTGCTATGATTTGGTTTTGACTCCAACAGGACTACATTTATTTCTTTATTACTGTTGTTCTGTTTTGCTCGTCTTTCATTTTCGTACCATTTCTTTGTGTGTTCATTATTGACTCGCCTTGAGCTCATTGGTTCCGGTATCAAACTAGCCTCACTGCATTCTGTTGACTAATCCCACCCTGTCTGCCAGCAGCTACAACGGTTGGAACAAAAGCTGCGTTTCCATCAAGTATCTAATTGTGTAAAATTCTAAATGTGGGGAAAAAGCTGCTTAAGGAAAACACATAAAAAGTGTAAGAAAACAACTCCAAATTTTCTCTGCAGTGTATTTTTGCAGAACTACAACCCATATGAATACTTACTTTGCATAACAGAAGTCACATGATACACAAAAGAATGTAACTGCTGGCGACAAAGAGGACAACACATATCGTTATTGTGTGAATAACTTATTCATGTGTGTTTCTAATCACACTTTTTATTTAATTTTAACACTGTCATTGCTGTTTGTTCTTTCTGACATTTGAAGAAAATCACAGTTTTGCAAACAGTTGTAAAAGAAGCACAGCTAGTAAAAGAGACATTTGTTTTAAACTAAATATGTTTTATTATGCTTCTAATAGACAGAATCATCTCATATAGCCAGCCAATGCCATTGACTTGTTTATGGTACACTGGTTTCTTGATAAATGGTTCACATCAACTATTCAGTGCTTTGTTACACAAGAAATGCTTCTAATAAACAAGCTATAGTTTATTTAAGATAAAAGGAGATTATGGAAACAGTGACAAATAATGCTACAGTACTTAAGTAATTGAAAGTTGGGGAAAGAGGGTGTTTTCCAATGGAGGAGGTTGCTGTTGTTGTTTTCGTTCTTTAACATTGCTAACTTCTTCTTGTGTGGGCATGAATGGGTTAAATGGTTGCTCTCAAAGACGCTTGTGCCCTCAGATGCGCGCAGAAGCATCAAAGAGTGGAGCACGGCGCGCCTCCTCCTCATGTTCCATAATGTCTGCAGCTCAACTTTTATTCATACAGTTAAACCCTCAGAAAAACCTTGTGGGTGTGAAGGATGCCTGCAAAAAGGCGACACACACAGATCAACCTCCAGTATCCGGTTCAATACAGTCTGCACACAGGTGCAGCAACCCCAAAGGACACACCAAACACAGTTTGGCACACGTGTCGCTCATCACAGCTACAAAAAACGAAATTAAATGAATGTTAACATCTGTTGATGTGTTAAGGGGAGAAAAAATAGGTTATTTCAGGTCTGAAATAGTTTACCACAGTTTTTTTTGGGGGGCTTGTAACAAATGTGTCTGGGGAAAGTAAGGGGGCTTCCTTTTTCCACATCAATAAGATAAGAAAGGAAGTGACATCAGTTCCTGTTGCAAACTGAGCTGCAGCAGCAGGAGGCCGACAGTGAGTAATGCATGTTTTATGCCCACAAAACAAAAATGCTGACATGAACTGCTTGAGCTGTAAAAGATATGTATATAATATTTGTTCTGTTTTTTTTATATTTTAACCCTCTTAAACATTCTTTCCAAATCCTCAACTGGGAATTTTGATGTAATTCCTTGTAGTTAGTTTTCCTCAAATACATCCAAACTTTGTCAATATGCAGAGTGGATTTTAAGGAGACAGTTCTCTAAAAACTCCTGTCTTTAAAGTAAAAGGTAATTATTAGAGAAAAGGAGTTTCCCAGAAGCAACCTGTGTCAAATTTGCCTGTAAAACAGACAATTCTGGAATACATTGGACTACCCAAGTTTAATCAGATCAATCAATGCTAAAATCAGCTAACTCATAACTCCAATATTAATCCAACATGCTACATTATCAACTCTTATGACAGCAACAGAGTGACTCAAATATTAGTGTCAACTCTAAAAATATGACTTTTATTATGAGAAGGCACCAACAAAAAAAATGTATCCAAATTAAGCCAGGGTTGCAAAGAAAAAAAGAATGCTATCCTTCAGGGTTAGATGTGAAAAAGTACATGGCAGTAAAAGCTTGACCATGGCCAGAGAGGACACGTTTGAGCAATATTGTTTGTAAACTGAGCCCTGAACTTGCGACTGCAGGGTTCACGGCATGAGTCACAACCTGTGGTGTCGCCAAGGTTAAGCGGCTCAGTAAACATGGCAACAGGCTGCCAAAAAGGAGAAAGTGCCATGGAAAGTACCTTAGACAATTTGCAGCTCAGATAAAAGAACGCATGCTCTTGATAAGACGGGCCGCTCTGCCGCTCCAGCTGAATATCTACAGGGAGAGGAAGAAAGCAGAGATTAAGATGCGCAACAAGAGGATGTATGTAGGCTGAGTGCATACTTGGTCTTTGTTCAATAAATGTTAAGGTTATAAATAGTCAAACGGAGGGCAAAAATGAATCTGATTTAAATGTTATTAACTGTTGAAGTGGTCTAGTCTGTCAACAAAGTGACATTTAGCTTTACATTCTGAGAGTTTTTTTTAGGGCCTGTCTAACCCAGACATAGCCTCACTTTGTTTCGTGGGCGACAAAGTAATGACTCATTTGAGTTGTTGCACTTTCTCATAATAGGGGGGATGTGGAGAGCTGACATACCACCCTAGTTCTAGATAGTGGACCTGCAGGGCCACATGAAGGCGGAGTTGTCACACTGTCACAGTCTGAAGTCCAGACTTTGAACCCGCTCCTCTTTGGACTTGGCTGCAACTCAAACAGGCAACAGGCCGTTTGCCTAGGCTGATAAACAACTCCTGGGCACGGAAACAAGCTGACTGAGAACAAGCAGAGCCGAACATTTGCACATCCTACATTTGGCACGTGCACATGTTTATTCTTGAAATCTTTTAAGCAGGGGTTTTAGGTTAATTTTGTAAATGAAAGTGGCCATGATTTCATAGTGGGCTTCTTGCTCTCAGCTTGCAATGTCATAATCATCTTTTGGTTTGAGCACATTTTGAAAAAGTCTGTGGCACACAAGAGTCTTTTGTCTTTTGTCGTCACTACCGCACATTACATCAAGAAAAGTTCTCAGGAAGTGGGCAGAAAGGGGAGTTTTGTTCACACTAAAATAGCTAGAAAAAAACAAAAATCTTAGGCCCTAGCATTTTACAGTTTTATCTTTTGTCTTGTGTTTGTCAGTCTGTGCCCATCATACACTAAATGATATATTCCTAAAACAAAAACAGGCGAGGAAGCCTCCACATTAAAGGGAAGTATCTCTGCCTCAGAGTCCAAGTCCACTCTTATGCAACCAGCAAGGTAATTTACTATAACCCACTTAGGAAAGAAAGAGATCAGTGTGGTGGCTGCAAAGTTCATTAGCCAGGGACACTATTTCTTGGAAGTCTCGAGGGTACTCTCTATGTCAAAGACATGTGGGGTTGACGTGAAAAGTCCAACCTATTTTACAGCCATGAATCGCTTGAAAATCAACACACAAAGATTTTCCCACTAGAGCTTTTTTCTGCCAATCTTAGTCCAGGGTCATATAAAGCATGTAGTATGTCGACATACTGTACAAAGGAGTAGAGACCAAGACACAGACCATAAAAATACACTTCCTTTTGTACATTAAAGAGATAGTTCAGGAATTTCGAATCTATAAAAGTGCAATTATAATTCATATGATATGTGTAGACAGGGTTTTAAGGTTGTTGCATTCAAGTGATTTATGATGGAAACTATTTTAACAGATCTTTTTTTGTATCTCCCCTTTCCATATTGTCAGTGTGTGAGTAGTTCATGGATTCGACTCACAGCTTTGATAAATAACAGAACAGAAGATGAGCAGCCTTCTCAAAGGACAAAGCCTAACTTGGTGATAGCTCTCAGATGGGAGATCTACCCCATGACAGCAGACTAAACATAGTGGCAGCGTCATGCTGTGGGTATGCTCTTCTTCTGCACATAGTGTCAACTTTCTGGTCATACAGACTACTCAAAGAATTACATTTATAAATTTACATTTACCCGGCTGTATCCTAAAAAAAGTGAAGTACAACAATCATTAACCAGCTTTGAGTTGAGTATGGAATTAGAATAATTTAATCTACAACCCATAAAATTACCTACAAAGCGGTCGCTAATGTGGTTGTATTTATAAAGCCTTGCATAGGATACATACTAAAAGTGCATGAATGCCAAAAATTTGAAAATGGGGCACAGCTGTAAAGTACCTCAAAGGCTCTGCTTTAAACTCGGCTCTCTACATACCAGCGTTCAGGCATAAATGGTCCATGCAAGGCACCTCATGAAAGTCATTGTACATTTAAATGGTTAATGATTGAAACAGCAGAGACTAAAAAGAAAAGAAAATGCAGCTTAATGGTGGCAGAAATAGATCCAGTAATGAGTAAGGTGGACTGTTATAAAAAAAAGTTTGGTAACCACAGTTATGGCGTGACAAATAAGAGGAAGTTGCCTACCATGAATGGCAACACAAGTTCGATGGATGCACAGGTCATAATAACAACACTATCTTTCAGTTTATTCAACTACAGTTTTGGTTTTAGAGTTAGAATTAGCCATAAATATGGCTTTTATCATATTTAAGGCATGATCGCCAAAGATCTCGAATAAATAAATTGCATATACAACTTTTTTTTTTTATTACGTGCAATAAGTTGGAGTATTGCAGGGAGTCTACAAATATTGCAGCAAAAATGTAAAGACCTGCAAATGGAATCCCAGAATGCTCAGCACCTCTCATTAATAAAAATAAAGAAATATTAATCCAAAAATGCGGATAAGTAGCACTCTTTAGTTAACCTGACTCCGCCTCTTTAGTTAACCTGACTCCGCCAGATGGATTTTCTCCGCATATCCATCTGGAAACCTTCCGTTGAAGTAATTTTGGGAAGGGGCGAAAATACTGGTTAGCTGATTGGCCTATGTTGGTGATAGACGGGCCAAATAAACCAATCAGATCAACGAAGCATATGACGTACTAACAGAGCGACAACAAAAACACAACCACAAGCCAGGCACAAGCCAATTGATAGATCAAACTCTTGCCGAAACCAGTCGGGAGAAGAGCAAAAACATCTTTTCCTCTGAGAAAAGCCTCCAGAGCAGTGTTTTGCTCTTCTTTCAGTGAAGAAATACTCTGTAATTCCGATAAAACTTGCTCGATAGCCACGCTAACGCTAGTTTCATCGGCTGAAGCCGCCATGTTCTTTAGACTGAACTGTCGCGCTTCTCGTTGCGTCACACCTCAACCCGCCTCAAAGCCAACGCTGATTGGACGTTCGTTTGTTGAACTGCTCCAAATTTTCTTTAACGGAGAGTCTCCAGACTGATCTGCGAGTGAAACCTTGAAAGCTCGCGAGATCAGGATGGTCTCACGAGGCTACTCTTTAGTATCTGTAAGATGTAACGGCCATATCTGCTTATTACCGTTTCCTAATCGCTCTATATGTCTGTACATTTTTCTGGCTTTTAAAAGAAAAATTACAACCATACAAAACTATGTCCAATTGTTACTATAATTAAATCTTACCTATGCACATTTATATTTCATAAATACATTTAATCTTTATTATTGAATGTTGGTTATCCATAACTTATTGTGTTTGTGCAGGACCATGCACCCGCAGGTACTGTACCCTTACTGTTCTACATTGTGGTTGCGCTCATTGACTTCTTTTTATTTAATACCTGTGATAATTAGGGGTAAGAAAAATGCCAAAGGAAGGTTAAATCATTCAAATAAGCCAGTAATCATCATGGGCCAGGAAATCTTGGTGATTGGTGAAAAACCCATTCCTTCCTAATTCTTCCATCAGTCCTCCAGCAGAGCATCGTCCATTGTGCAGCGTTATAAAATATCGGTATTTAAATGTTTACAGTAATCACTGTGAACGCCTCACACCCTGTCACATTTGTTGATCTGTGGTACGACTCAGTTAAAAGGGCCAAGGACCCTAATAGTGCATATTAAAAGAGAAAACTTGCAGGTGAGTAAACTTACAAATATGTGTGCACCTTGATTGAGAATTTAAGCTAGCTTATAAACCATTTTTCATTTGCAGTTGCAACCCAGGAGCAAAAGCTGATATCACACTACACGTTCCGCTTCAATAAAGTTGATCTACGATTTAAGTTTTGAATGACGTGAATTTGAATGACTGAGAGAAATTAGGAGATCTGGCTTTAATTACCCACCACACCGTGGTTATTGCCAGTTTGCCCCTGTCTCCATAATGAATGCGTCCTGTGCAAAAGGGTTAGAGCTGGTTTAAGGATTGAACATTTTCTCGTCAAGTTTTTATAGATGACAACATTTGCGTATAACTTTGTAACGTGACCAAATATGGAACATTTAACACTATAGTATGGTAAGGCACTGTAAAGGTTAAAGAATCTGGCCATGATCTGTGATTATTCTGTAAAAAAATGCTCTCTATATGGGATTTTGTCTTCATATCCTCATTAGATATACTCAAGGGATTTAGGTATTTCAAACAAACACTCCTGAGTGTCTGAGGACTTTAGCTTTTCCGTCTTTTACTGCAAATGTCCCAAGAGCAACAGGAAAAGAGGAAGCTCCACCCTTTACCATATCCTTCATTAACCTTGCTCAGACAGCTGAGCTAAGTCAAGGCCACCGTTTGCTGCACTCTTTTCACTTCTTTCATGTGAGCATGCAGCAAGCCCCCCGTCACCCCCCTGGTTAACACATCTGCATATATGATCTACATAAACGAGCTCCAGAAAACTTACCTCCAGTTTCTTTATTCCCTACTTTCTCTTTATTTAGGATCCATTAAAAAAAAAAAAAAAACAAGGCCTCCCTCCCCACTCTATTCCTTTTCATTCCTCTATCCTCTCTGCCTCCCACCTCCCTTTGCTTTCCTTTCCTTTCCTTCATCTCTTGGGCCCTCTCACTGACAGCTGGCTCTGATTAGGGCTGTGAAAAATGGGGCAGTCACGCCAGCAATCCGCCCACCAGCCCCCCCACCCCCCAAACATTCCTACAGCATGACTCCGCACTTTTTCCCCTCTGCTGTGAGGCCTGTCTTTGCTTCCCTCCCATTTGCTTTCTGTCTTTCTTCAGCTGTGTTCTTTTTTTTTTCTTTCTTGTTATTTTTTGCAGTTTCAACAGTGCACCCTGCAGCAACCAGAAAGGTAAACTTTATGCAAGCAAATGTCTGCTTTGGGGAATTTCTGTCCTATATTTAATTAGATCAGCTAAATATACAAGGCTTTGGGGGGGGGACAAAGACAGATATATATGTTCAAATTAGCCATACAGGGT